GGAATCAATCGAGCCGCCTGCGACAGCGTGTGCTTGGTTGTACGGCGCTTCAGAGCAGCGCGCCCAAGCGGAGCCGCGGCCCCGCCGCATCCGCGCCTCCTGCCGCGTCCGCCTCAGCGCTGAGGCGCCGTGCGGGGCTGGGAGCTGCAGCGGAACCGAGCGCTACGTCGGGCGCTGAGCTGGGATACTTCCTAGCTGGAATACTTCCATTACGGCTCGACCTCAAATAATTCCCACATACACACCCTTAGAAGACGATATCAAGTGGGCCAGAAATATTGGCAGTACTAATTAGCCCCGCTGATAGCCAGTGGAAATGATAAATGTACTAAGAATTAAAACGTACCTCACGTATGGCGCGTATTTGACATTTCTTCCGAAAATACCACTAACTACCTGTCAGAACCTCCTGGCACACGCTGCTGTAATTACCTTTGTCTCAGTGAGGATATTTCCAGTGTTTGCCCCGAGTCCCTAGCACTTAGACCACATTCAACAACTGCTTCAGAAAATCGTTTTAATTCATTTATTTTCAGTTCCTGAGCCTGCACGGCTCACACGCGGGAGCCCCACGCAGCCTCTGGGCAGCGCTCCACAGCAGCAATGCTTTGCAGAGGCCTTTGGGAAGCCCCTCTGGAAGCAATGGATCTCCCACACAGGAGCACAGGGCAGCTCTCCTCTGCAGCCTTTCCCTGCAGGGCTGTAACTCACAGCTGTGCAGCACCCCCAGCAGCTGGGAGCTCTTTGCTGTCGCTCCATGGGCTGAAATGTCTGCCCTCCTGCAGCCCAACACAGCCGCTCTCTGCATGCCTGCAACGCACTGCTATTTCTGAGTGTTGCCAGCAACTGGTGGCTTATTAAGCAAGAATAGGAAACACAGCAGGCTCGAGATGTCGGTTTGGGTCCTCACTCCATTTCTCAAGTGTATTTTTCCTCATTTTTAACTAAAGAACCCTTATCAGTGCACGGTTCTGGTTCTCTCACAGAATCACAGAATGGCCAGGGTTGGAAGGGACCTCAAGGATCATGAATCTCCAACCCCCCTGCCACATGCAGGGCCACCAACCTCCTCATTTAATGCTAGCCCAGGCTGCCCAGGGCCCCATCCAATATGGCCTTGAACACCTCCAGAGACGGGGCATCCACAGCCTCTCTGGGCAGAATCTCTCCCGATGTGTGTGCCACCTCCCAGCCAGAACACACGGCAGACCTACCAGGAGGCAGCTGCTCAGGTGCTCTTTGAGACCACACTGACTTCTTGCACATAGAATGTGACATTTGCTTCTGAACAAAGTACAGCCGTGGCTTCAGAGCAGCAAGAGAAGCTCCATGCGTCACCTCATCGTGGCATGCTGCAAAGCAGCTTCAGCAACTTTCTGCTCAGCTTTCTGGCAGCTGTTCTCGGTGGATTCCCAGTGTGCTGCCTGGAGATAGCAGTCAGAGTGCTGTGCTCATGGCTGCAATTAGATGCAGGGAATGCAGCAGCAGCAGCAGCCAGAACACAGTGTGCTTTGTGCTGAGCTCTTCGCACCGAGCATTCCTGGTGTGTGGGCTCCTGAGGGGAAGCAGTTCTAGAGCTGAGCAGTGCTGGCAGTGGACAGACGTCCTGCAGGGCTCCTGCTCATTTCAGCATGGGTTTTCCAGAGCAGAAAACCCAGCAGTGCCATTAACTGGACGGCTGTAAACACATGAACAACAGCACTGCTTCCTCACAAGGTACGTGCATTGGAAAGCAAAAAAGCGCAGCACTGCTCTGCACGTGGAGATGTGCGACAGAGAAATGAAGCAAAGCGTGCAGCCACAGAACTTCAGTTAACTCAGACTATTTGAGCCCTGCCTGTTCCTTCTCCCCCTGAATCCCAAGCAACTTGCAAGGTGAGTGCTGCTCCTTCCCAGCAGTGGGACAGCAGGTATTTCCAGCTGACAGAGGCAGCGCCAGAGCCTCAGGAAGCAGAGGGTTGGTCCTGAGCTCTGCCCTTACCGAACCCCTCTGCAGCATCCATCTGCTCTCAGTGGGCTCTGCTGTGCTCTGTCCTCGGGAGATGGAAAGAGGAAAAGAGAAGAAATAAAGCATTTTCCCCCCACAAGGGCTGGGGGAGCGGGCACAACAGCAGCGCTGCAAAGGCTGGAACGAGTGAAGCACATGCAGTGCTGCCAGCAGTGCTGCTCTGTGCTACCACACCCTGTGGAGTTGTATCTGTGGCCCAGCTGGCTGCAAAAGAGCAAACACATCTCCTTTTAATTAATTCATTCATTTTTGTGGCCCGTGCCATGATTTTTCAGCTGGATCAGCTCTCTGGTTCGGTGTTGCTCCCTGAGACCTTTGGGGCACTTTGCTCATTTTCCCCACCGTCAGACCCACGTTCCAAGGCCGACCCTGCAGCCAGGCTCCATGCATTCATGGAGCAGCGTGGTGGTGCTAACTGTGTCCTTGGATGATGCTGGGGCTGCAGAAGACCTCGGCATGCTGAACGTGCTGGCAGCAGGAGTGTGCAGACCACGTGTGCTGGGGCATGCAGGCAGCAGCAGCCGGCGGGGGAACGCGGGCAGGCGAGATCAAACGGCCTGAAAGCAGGTCACAGCATCACCCTGCTGCAGACAGCATGGCAACTGCTCATTAGGGTGATTACAGGCAGAGGAGCTGCCCCAGCTCTCTGCTAATGAGCAGCATGGGCTGCCTGACCGGTGCGGCTCAAGCAAAGCCTGCGGCTGTTGGTGCACATTCAGCTCCCGAGGTTTCCTCGTGCTGCTGTTCACCTCTGTCCATGTTCCTGTCCCATCCCCTGCTCCTGTTCATCCCCAGCCCTGTTCTATTGCTGGAATCTGATATGACTGTGCAGAGCATCCCATGCAGCCCTGGCTGCCTTCCTCTGACTGCTCTGAGAATCAGAAATAATGTATAGAATGAGAAGCTGGATTCAGTATTATCGATGTATTTACATTCTTCTGTATTCCCTCTTCTTCACAACATAATGTTATATACCATATATAATTATTGGCAGTTGAAACTGGATTATCTTTAAGGTCCACTCCAACCCAAGCCATGCTATAATTCTATGATTGTGTAAATATTCTATGTATATATAATTTATACATATATATATATATATATATAAAGGTATCTCCATAAACATCTCCACACTGGCAGTAGCTCCCCAGGCGTACCGCTGTCCCATCACCCAGCTGGGACAGACCCAATGTGCAACTGGCACGTTTAAAATCAGAGCCCACGCCCTGAGCCAGGGGCTGCCTGGGCAATGCACGGCAGCCTGAAAAGAAAGGAAAAATGGTGACAAGGGATTCAGGTTGCATGGATTCAGCCTGCACAGCTCTGTGGATGCTCACACCCCCATGACTCTCCGGGGCCCCCCCAGGACATTTTTGCTGGCTGAGGCAGGCAGGATGCAGCTCGCACTGCTGCATTCTTCTGCTTGTTCTGCTCCCTCTCATTTCTCTTGGGACCGGGGCTGAGCCTGGGGCCACGCTACCAGCACTGGGTGGGGGCGAGGGATGCTGAAGCTGCGTGCTCATCCTGGAGCAGGGGTGGCATAGGAGGATGCCTCTCGTACTCACTGATCCCTGCAGGGACCTGCAGCACAGGAAAATAAAGGGGCTGCCTGCAATGTGTGAGCTGCTGTTTGCTTTGCAGGGAACTACCACCGCCCCTGCAGCTGAGAGGATGAGGAGGGCAGCAGGGCACGCTGCGGACAGGGCTGCAGGGGGCACATGGGGTTGTGGTACCCGGGGCAGGAGGATGCTGGAGCTGGAATGTGGACGTGGGGGTGAGCAATGAGGAACTGGCAGCAAACAAACCTGATTTCCTCACCCTGGTTTTTGGCATCATTGGGGCATCAGCGGGGGCAGTGAGGACTGAAACGCAGCTCCAAGACATTAACAATGCATTCAAAAATAATTCAGCAATTAATATTTTCTGATTGAAAATGCCTTCACCCCAAAAGCCCCGCTGGGGCCAACACGGGCACATCGTGCACATCCCAGGCAGGAGCTCCCAGCTGCACCGTGTCCCAGCACAGCTCCGAGTGCAGCCCTGCGCACAGACAGCACTCCGTCCTGCAGCTCTGCACAGCACCGCGTGCCCTCGGCAGGCACTGCTGCTCTGTGCGAGGGCAAACTGCTCCTGGGTGGGAAACGGGGAAAGAGCCCCGAAGCCCCAACAAATAAAGCCCTGAAGCCGCCAGCAAGGAGCGAGAGGGGCTGCTACCAGGGCACAGTAAGGCAGCCCTGCTGCTCGCAGGCACGCCCAGATGATTGGAGCTCAGAGCGGCCCCGACTCCAGCTATAATCCTATGCCCTACACTGGGGCTGCGATTCCGGCTGCTAATGAGGCGAAGTTAATTGGGACCCGCGCACAATGCGCCCACCTGTTGTGCCGGGCCGCACCATCTGCCGCCCACCTGAGGCCTCGCCGGTGCCCGGGGCTGGGCCGTGCCCCCGGGTCGGGGCGCGGGGAGCCGCCCACGAAGCGGCGCGCACTTCGGCCGCTCTCCCCGCAATTCAGCCCCACGGAGCGCACCGGGACCCGTCTCCGAGGAAGTCCCCCGCTCGTGGCTTACTGCAAAAGAGCGCGTGGCCCCCACGCACGTGGCCGCAGGCATTGCCCTGGGCCGCTCCTTCCCACCCGGGAGCGAAGTTCTCCCGTCCCCGCGCCGTGACTCAGCGCCCGCATCAATCATTGACCCCGCGCACACCGCGCGGCCACGCGGGGCAGCACCGCGCGGGGAGAGGAGCGGCGGCAGGCCACGCCCCTTTACGCCAGGCCACGCCCCTTTACGCCAGGCCACGCCCCCCTCCCTCAAGCCGCGCCCTCTCGTCTCCCCCCGCAGCCAATCAGCGGCCGCCGCCCCGCCGGTTCCCGTGGCAGCGCTGCCCGGTGGCGGAGTTCGGCGCCGGGCGGCGAGAAGCCGAGAGCTTATTTGCATGAACCAATAGAACGCGCGTATGCAAATGTAGGCAGAGCGGGTTGGCTGGGAGCGGGCCGGATAACGACGGTGGGGGCGCCTTTGTCCCGCAGAGGCGGCGGCGAGAAGGGAGCGGAGCGGCGGCCGGGAGCGGCCGGGAAGCGGAGCCGGGCCGGACGGTGGCAGCGCTCCTCTTCCGCGCGGCCGCACTATGACTTTGGAGGAGCTGCCTGGCGACCAGCGCACCGCCGGCAGGTAGGGACCGGGGGGGTTGCGAGCAACTTGGGCGAGGGAGGGAACGGCCCCGGTGCTGATGAGCTGCGTGCGTGTGCAGGATGGAGCAGGCGGGGGACGCGCTGGAGGAGGTGCTGAGCAAGGCGCTGAGCCAGCGGAGCCTCACCCTGGGTGTCTACGAGGCGGCCAAGCTGCTCAACGTGTGAGTGAACCGCTCTTGGTGTCCTCCACCCATCCCCCGGTCCCCCTCCGGTCCCCCCCAGTGCTGACTCCGCTGTCTCCCCCTCCCACCAGTGACCCCGACAACGTGGTTTTGTGCCTTCTGGCCGCCGACGAGGAAGAAGAAGGAGACGCGGCGCTGCAAATCCACTTCACCTTAATCCAAGCTTTCTGCTGCGAGAACGACATCAACATCCTGCGGGTCAGCAACCCGGCTCGCTTGGCCCAGTTGTTGCTTCCCGACGGCGGTCCTGAACCACCCACTGATCTCCATTGCGTCTTGGTCACGGTGAGTCCATTGCTGATGACTCAATGCCAACGTCCCGGGGAGGTTCCCGAGGCTTTTGCCGACGGCACGGCCTCGGGAACCTCCCCGGGACCAAATTTGCTGTTATTTAAGTGGATTTCTTGCTCAACCAGCATTTTCCCCACCTTTTATCCAGAACCCCCACGCCTCCCAATGGAAGGATCCAGCGCTGAGTCAGCTGATGTGCTTCTGCCGGGAGAGTCGCTACATGGATCAGTGGGTGCCGGTGATCAACCTCCCCGAGCGGTGACCGCATCCCAGACATCACCAAATCATTTTTTTTCAACCCGTTGCTCAGGAATTGATCAACCTCCACCCCCATAAAGGAAGACAGGAGGGAGGGGAGGGAAACAAAAAAACAAACAAAAAAAAAACAAAAAAAAAAAAATTGGGAAGAAAAAACAAACAAAGGATTTAATACTAATTAAGCTGTTATCACGTTGACCGCCGAGGTGTTGGAGAGGAGCATGGAAGCGGAGCTGGAGGAGCCAACCCCCATCCCCAGAGTGGGGACACCGCGATGCCGACCGCCCCTTGGGCTGGTTTTTCTTTTTCAAGTGCAACTTCACAGTTTCTGGTTGAAATCTCTTAAAAGGAGCTCCAAAAAGGTTGAATCGGAACGCTTCGCTAACGATTTTATTGTATTTTTTGGGATGTTGATTCTCAAGTTTTTAATGCTAAGATATATAATAAGTTATTTTATGATATTGATGGAAAAAAATTATTTATACTCTGAGGTTTGAGAACCGGACTACCCTCGAGCAGTTGGTCCACAGCCGCACGTCTTTTAGCTGCTGCTGAAAGCAGCAACGGTGATGTAATTGTTGGAAATGGGACGGCGCTTTGTTTTTTCGGGGGGTTTGTTTTTTGAAATAAAGTTTTGACTCTGCTCCTCGCTGCTGGGTTTTGCTTTGCCGCGCGCAGTCCCCGGGCTCAGCTCCTGTTGCGCTGCTCCTGTAATGGCACCTGGGCTCCCTCCCGGCCCCTCCCAACCCAGCAAATGGAACAGCAGCTGCCGTGCTGCAGGAAATGCGATTTATTTTTCTTGAGCACCGCCGCTTCGCAGCGTAGTTCAAACATGAGGAAGCGTTTCAGCTGCCCTAACAGCTCCCACAGGGCCTGGGGCTCGTTCCAAGTTGGGGAAACCCCATTGCTTTGTGTGGGAACCCCTTTCCCAACGCTCCCTTTGCAGCCCCGGTGCCTGAGCACTGCACCACGCAGACGTTTCCCCCCCAGCTTTGCTCCCTGTGCCTCTCGGAGCTGGGCAGGGGGGAGCAGCAGGGCCCACGAGCAGCTGCATGTGTTGTTGTTGCTGCACACAAAGCGGGCAGCAATCCCTCCCCTGCCCCCAAAGAGCAGCCACCCACTCCCCCCCACCCCCCTCCAGGCCCTGCTTCTGCTCTGGGGTTCTGTAAGCATTGCCCACCCTGTGCGCCCAATTTCTGCATCCCCACTGCAGCCCAGCCCGGGGCTGCCCAACGCGGGAGCTTCCCAAACATGTTATTTTTAGCACTGTGATTACAGCCTGTGGCCGGCGTCAGCATTTCTAAAGCGAACGCGGCCCCGGCGCTGATCCCGTGCTGCCTCCTCCCTTTGCATTCAAAATGCCTTATTCTGGCGCACGGTGCTTTGGGAGCGCAGATGTCACGGACCCAGCAAAGCCCGAGCGCAGCTGACCCCAAACACGTGCCAGCGCAGCTCGCTTCTTTTGTCCCACAGTGGGCCCCACAGGCTGCTGCTCACCCAGGGGCTGCAGCACAGCGTGCTTCAGGCCTGGCTCCCACAAGCCCAGCACACAGCGAGGGCAGCCTGCAGCACCCCATCTATCTCCGTGTACGTATTGATACACGCATATGTGTGAAGCTAAAAGCCTTTCGCTTGGGAACAGCCTCCCTTCCCAGGCTGCTAACCAACACGGGACCTTTGACTCAAAACCAAAGTATGTCGAGATGAGAACAAGAAGTCCGAGTGCAGGCACTTTTGGCAAAGCAAACCAGCAAAATGAAAAGAGAAAAAAACCAAACAAACTCCCCCTCCTCCCTCCCAACAGAACCATGGCTTTACCAAGGGTCTGCAGCACACCCAAACTTTTTTTTTCCCCTTTGAATCAAGCAGCAGCAAAATCACACTTGCAGAGAAGCAGAGCTGCACACCAAGCTGGCTCATGGGATGGTGGGGAAGGGAGACCCAGCGCACATGGCAGCAGTGCCAGCCATGAAACAGGCTCAGGTGGGGGCACCCAGGCAGTGCCCACCCTGCCCCCAAGGACCCCATGGTTTCATTTCTCCTTTTTCATTCTTCTATTGAGACACCACTTTCCTGTACTATGAGAGTACAGCTCCTGTACTTTTGCTGCAGCATTTATAGTGAAAGAGCAAAGGTGCACATAGAAACGTAACTGCAGGAGCCCACACATGACCCTATCCACTGCATGGAGCAATACACAGCTGACCTGTAAAGCTGTGCGATGATGCCAGCAGAAGCGGCCAGCTGCATCTCACTGTCACTCTCAGGTGTTCTGTCTGAGCTGAGAAACACTGAAAGAGAACTGGTACAGTGTTTTCAATCACACAAAGACACACTGTGCCCACACACAATCTTTTTGCTCTTTGAAGGATAAGCGGCAGTGAAGGAGATGCTGATGTGAATCTTTGCCCCGGTGCTTCAAGGATGTCAACACTGCATGAAAACGTGGAAAAATGCACTCGATGTGCAGAGAAGCAGATGCAGCAGTGAGAAGGTCTGAAGGAAAGGATTTCCCTTTACCCTGTGGCACACGCAGCCCCGCTGCAGCGGGGGGAGCGCCCAGAGGTTCCACGCGAGCAGAAAGCGAGCAGCCAGGAGCTCCGTGCCAGGACTTCTTTATTAGAAAGTACAAAGGTAAGCATCCTGTGTGCTGGGTGGGTATGGCAGTACGAGTGGGAAGGATGAGAGGTGGCAGAGCTCCAGCCACCGCAGGACCTCGTGTCGGTACCCGGCTCACAAACAGCACAGGGACAAAGCTGGACGTAACGCTGGCTCTGCACATACATCGCATCACAGAACCATTCCGGTTGGAAAAGACCTCCATCAACCTGTCCAGCTGCCAATCCAGAACCTCAGGTTACCTCTGGTGGGGTGAGGAGCTCTAACCAGCACTGATGGCTCCTGGAAGGAGCAATATTTGCACGAGCCCCTGCGCCTCTGCGTGCCCCTGCTGGCCGCCCCAGCTCAGCTACCGACTGTGTCTAACTAGATGTGTTATAAAAGGAGACTCAAAGATAGTAAAAAAGAAAAAATAAGCATGGATCTACATTATTGTTTGGAAATCATTGCTAGAAAAATAGTCTAATTATAAAAATAATTTGAATGTAAGCACAGAGTTAGCAGTACAGTTTTCTTATTGCCAGCCTCGCGTTCAGATTTTTGAGCTGTTTGTTAAAGAGCCTCGTTAAACAAATATATAATTTCTCAATATATTATCAACAGTGCGTATATAATTTAATATAGAAATGACAAATAGGCAACATAAGACAGTAAATTACAAGTGGTTAATAAGTCCTGTAAGCATCCTTACAGGAACGCGCAGCGATGGCCGCTCACAACTCCAGCCCTGGACCACAGCTACAGAGAAAGGCAGAATCGTTTTAAGTCCCCTGGAAGTTTGCTGTTAATATGCAATGTTTGTATAAATATCCTATTAAAGTTTATATATATATATATTTATATACACGCACGCAAGGACTTTTTTATGATGTATATATATCAAATGACTTCCTTGATGGAAAGGCCCCCTGGTTACACCTACACAATCACAATCTGGATGCAGTTTGGCATTTTTTCCCCTTTAAGAGGAGATTTAGGAAAGAGCCAAATTCTGGGTGCCTGTACAAATCATAAATGAGACCTCAAGTGGCAGAACCACACCTCCACCTCCGCCACAAAGACACGAACTATGAGTCTGTTGCCTCTGATTCTTTGGACAGCTTTTCTTTTTTGCATGCCAACAAAGATTTTTGATGAGAGAAATGAGAAAACCAGAATTAAATCTGAAGTTGCTTTTTCCTAGCCTCCTGAAGGCTAGGAAGTAAACCCTCGGCTTGACACATTAGGTTTTACATGCCAAAAACCCTGCCAAGTGCAACTAGCACACCAAGGGTGTCAGCACGAGCCTGGAGCTCTCCAGCAGTCACTACCATCATTCCTCAAGGTAGCTGTTGCTCGATAATGCACTTCTAAGTGTGCATGTGCACAAATGCACATCTGCACACTGTAGAGGGAGGCCCTGCTCTGCGTGCACACTTGATTTCAACAAGTGCGACACCACCAATGTTTCATAATGGGGATTCCAACTCTTAGCCCGGCTGTGTTCTGCAGCAAAGCCAGGCAGCTTTGGTCTGTGTGTGTGAGGTCACAGCAGGAGCGCAATCAGAGCCACGGCTCTGCAAAGGGACCCCGCTCCTCTGGCCAAGGGAAAAGTGATTGAGTGTGAAATCTCACTTCCTACCGGAGACTGGGAGCAGAAGAGATGCTTTAGAAAGCCTAAGAGATCGTTTCTACATGTGAGAAGAGGACAGTGAATACCGGGTACCTTACAGGTTGTTTGCCTACACATCAGCCTGCAGGGAGCTGCGGAGGCACTGCTGTGCCCCTATAACAAAATGCACGTCTTCTTGTCCTTGAATGGGTTTTCAGAAGCAGGGATGCCCATCAGCAATGGATCTTTCTTGGCGTGTTCTTCGCAATAGAGCATTAGGTCTGCTGATGCCTTTGACACCTGCAGAAGACAGAAGATACAGTGGCCACTATTTCCCCATAACCAGCAATAGGAGTGGATGTGACCCTGTGTGAAGGGAGGGATGCTGGGCCACCAGCACCTCACAGGCCCACACCCTATTTCCTGCGAGAGACAGAGCCCTGTGCCTCGCCCTGGGGCCAGCCCTATCCACAGAGGGGAGCTCCTCCAGCTGCTCTGGCACTGGTTTGTGACACGAGGCAATAGGATGGCTCTGCTCGCACAGGGCTTCTGCAGAAGACCAAAAACAAACAGGAAGGGCTCAAAATCGTGCAGCAGGTTTGTAATAAGGAACTTATTGTCTATAACGCTGGGGACAATAAACAGAAGTGTCCTCAGATGACTTAACACTTTCTAGAACACTAAATATGGTCTCTCTCCTTGCATAACCCTGCACCAAGAAAGGGTACCTTGCTGTGTGTTTCTGAGTTTGCACTGCTGGCACCTCCAGGGATGGGGCACCCATCACAGGGTGCACAATTCAGAATGACTTACTATTATGCAGATTTTCCAAGCTGAAATGTAAACACCAAGTTCCAAGATGGGGGAAAATCTGCACCGTGTCCCCTTTGCACACGTCCAGGGAAACCAGGAGAAAAGAGGGGCTGGGGAAGGCCGTGCTCTCACCTTTATTCTTTCTATTGAGGCTTCTATTCTCAGCTGCTGGACAGTCCTCCGGGCCTGAGCTATGCTGTTGGTGGTGCTGGCTGTTTTACCCGACATTTTCAGTGAGCCGGCGATGCTCTGTTGGGAAAAACAACCAGTTATTTTTCCAAAGGTGGCACAGCACGTTGCGCTGCTTCTCTATAAAGACACAACAAGCTGCAAGAAGCCTTATTATATTTTTCTTATTTTACACAACAGGACTGTCAGCAGAGCGGCACCAAACACCCTCAGAAAAATTGCACTGAGCTCCAGCAGCGCTTCTGCCGTCCCCCACCCCAGGTCTGTGGCAGCTTTACAACATCCCAGGGAAAAAAAAAACAACAGCCAAAGTTCACAGAAATACTCCCAGCTGCTGTCTGCTCCCATATGGCCATATATGGAGGCATAGCAGGAAAAAAAAAAAAAAAAAAGCACAGCCCCAGGACTTGGCTGCTCTGGGTAAGGAGGGAAAGCAGGGACCCCGCTGCGGGCGGCGTTTGGCTGCTCTCCAGCAGGGCAGGAGGATGCTGCTGCTGTCACCGCTCACAGCTGCCAGCCCTGCACAGCTTGAGCCCAGCCAGGCAGGGCCACGGAGTGCTGAGACTGCGATGGAGGAGCTGAATGGGGGTGGTGCAGCCCTTCCTGCCCCCAACTCTGCACGGAGGGACTGGGGCAGCGTTTTGGAGAACACTGATAGCCAGGTCCCGGCCAAAATGTATCGCAGAGCCCCCTGTAAATACAGCTGTGAGCAGGCAGCCAGCAGCTCAGAGCTGCTTTCAGGCAGCGCTGCCCTGTCAGACCCGTCTGTGCAGCAGCACGCGAGCACTGGCAACGCACAGACTCCACTGTTTGTTTTACACAGATCCTGCAGAATAATTGGCTCCGTGGTGCTGCGCTTAAATCATTTACAGCACTACAGGGGCTCGAGTCGAAGGCAGCTGAATGTGACCTTTCTGGGGCCGCACACAGCCTCTCCTCGCAGGCCTCTGTTACCCACATGCTGGCCAGGGCAGCAGTGCTGTTTTTCCTCCCACTGCTCTGTGTGCTGAGAACAGCATTTCTGTGCACCGAGCCCCTGGTTTGGCACAGCCCACATTTCCAAACTTCCTGTCCCTCCTGTGTGGCCCTGCTGCGCTAATGCCCAGCTTGCCCTCAACTGCAGCACTTTGTGCCAATGAGGATGTGATGCCACCAGCACTCTCCACACCAACACCTTCCAGCACTTTCCCCTACTAACAACTCACTGCACCATGCAGCAATGCTCCTGCTTACCCTAATATGCCTGTGAGCTGGGTGCTGAGGACGTGGGACTTGGTCCCGCTGCTGCTTGCTTCAATCACAGCAAAAAGCCAAGCACTCCCACAGGACGTGCTGGCTCAGTGAAGTTCAGCGAGCCCCTTCCTACCCAACTCAGCAAGTTCTGAAGCAGGAGGGGCTGCAACCTGCACCAACAGTCCTGGCAGGCAGCACACTGCCCGGGGCATCACTTACGTGCAAAAACTGAGTCCGTAGTGCAGCTGGGACAACACTGGCTGACTTGGAGAAAATATAATTTCAATCCCATATCCATTAAAAACGTCTTTAAATTATTAACAAAGCTAAGGCGATTAACTTTTTCTTAAGCATCTTATGATCTACTGGTGAGAAACCCTGTGAGTGCCGTCCTAACAGGTATTTCGTGCTTGGCCACTTGCAGCTGACTCCTGCTGCTCCTCAAAACCCCCTGCGGTGAGTCACAAGCAGAGAGAGCTGCTGTTCTCCCTGCTGAACCCCCCGAGCCCAGTGAGCACAGCTGCTGGATGCTGCATGCAGCATCTAGCAGCTGAGAAACTGCTTTGCTGATCAGGGAGCAGGCAGCAGCAGGATGCAGGAGGCCGTCCCGTCCAGCAGCTTGTTACTGCAAATGGGCAAGGGATGCCTCCTGCTCGCACGCAGGTAGGAGGGATCTAATAATTGGTACTGGGCAGCATTAGAAACTTACTTCCTGGAAGAGATATTGAAAACATAGTCATGAATCTCTCTGATGTGCACACAGCCACGTGGCCGCCGAGCAGGCAGCTCCTGGGCTCCCCAGCCTGCTTTGCAGGTGTGTGGCTGGGAGGAGACAGGCATGAGACAGAACTGGTTCAAATGCTGCATGTGCTCCAAGTGACCCATTCCAGGGTAAATGTGGAAGTTCTCTGAGTTCAGAGTCTTTAAACTTGTGCCAGTGCAAAGATCACAGCACCATGCAGCGCTCGGCAGCATGCAAGGGTTTTGGTTGCTGCATTTGCAGCACAAACCACACGCACTCCTCTAAACACTTCCATCCCAGGTTTCTGTGCAGTTAGCTGGACAAAAGCTGGAACAAAGCTCCTGAAATTAGAGTACAAGACACCTTGGTGACTGCAAGGAGGGGAGGCAGCAGCTGGGCTGTGCAGGCTGTGCAGCCCTACCTGTGCCTGCTGCCCACGCTGCCAGTCCCCAAGCAAAACTCCCAAAGGGGTGAGAACATGGCTCCTGGGGGAGGCTGCATCCCATGCAGCAGTGTTAAAGTTGCTCCTGCTGTCTGCAAAGTTGCAGTAATTGCACAAGGCTACAGATCACAACCAGCCCCTCCTCACCGGTGCACGCAGGCTGAACACGGCTGGGGGAGGAGGGAAGGCAGGGTGCTCTGCACGACAGCAACTCGCCCTGCAGCGCTGCAAGCCTGTTCCAGCCTGAACCCAAGGCATGCAGGGAGGCAGCAGGTGGCAGAGCTGGATGGTGAGTCAGCCTGGGCAGCAGGGCGGGCACGGCGCTCCCGGAGCAGCTCTGCAGCTAAGTGTGTGTGCTGCAGTTGTAAGGAGGGATGCATGGGTGTCCAAAAGGCCGTGCACAAACAGCACAACAAATGCTGTCACCGATTCAGATAGGCTGCATGTAACACCATACTGCAGACAAGCTGCTGCTAATCACAGAGATGCAGTACCCCACAGCATCCTGCATCACTAAAACTGGAGTCACTCAAATATTAAAATGCATTTTGATGGCGTGGTTGGTGATTCAACCTGCAAATTACTCAAGAGAAATGGGAAAGCTGACGGACATAAACACATTTGTCTGGAAATAGTCACCATCTGTTTGCAAAGGTTCATATGCAGACCATTTGCTGTACTGCTGGGAAAGAGAAAGCATCACAAAGAAAAGGTAACAAATCTGAGACCATCGGCTGCTTTGGAACCTGCTCTGCAAAGACGACAGTATGAAATCGGAAGACCCTCCTCCTTTTGGAGGTTCCATTTCAATCAGGATGAAAGCACGGTGCAGGAGCAGAGCACTGCCCCCACCCAGCCCTCCCTGCCTCCCGCAACTCTAAACGTGTCAAAACAGCCCTTCAGGATGTGTCAGGGATGGCCCAGGAGGACGGGATCACACAACAGGTTAAACCAGACCATGCACAACTATCACTGTACCTCCACCACGCAGACCCAAGAGCCAGCAACTGCTCCACACGGGTCCAGCGCTGCCAGGTTGGGATGTGCAGCAGCAGGAGATCTCCATCACACCAACACACGGCTTCTCTGGAAATGTATCAGCGCTCACTGGCTTCTTTTTTCTCTGCTCCAGAGCCAATTTCTTTTAGATCAGGCCAGCTAAGCTGTGCAGCTTGCAGGCCAGCTAGTAGTGCAGCTTTCCTGCTGCAGAATAACCATGCAGAGGATGGCTGTGGCTCAGAGCTGCCCACTGCCCAATACTCACATTTTAGAGAAAAAAAAAGAGGCTTCCAGCACGGCCTCTCACTCACGCTGCTGGATCTGATAAGCAGCACACCTGCTGCATTGATAAGGAGCTCTGCTGGCACACTGCAAAGTCAACACGGTAACATCATCATTTTGGAACAGAAAGGTGCTGCTTTGTATGGATACAGACAGAGCACTGATCTACTACAACCTGAGTCCTAGCTCAGATCCCAGCCTCCACAGTTTTCATTTCTTCTACTGAAAAGCTATGGAGTGGAAAGAAAAAGCAAACAAACAAGACAGACCTTGATTTTCTCCCAAAGTAATGGTTGCATCCCTGAGCAGTAAGATAGTTCAACATCTGCCGATTGCTCTGATTTCAGCATTTCGTTTTCTAAACGCACACAAAAAAATTAAAAACCAGCCACTGTTGAATTAAAATATACTAAATTCCCCCCTCATTTTGTTGCAGTGGAGGCAGGCTGGCTTTGCTCTGCCTTTGTCTCCTATGGCCATGACTCCTTTTGCTACTGGAGTGGGTGGAGCCTCTCCAGAACCCCTGCCCTGGCTCAAGGAGTGACCTCCTTAGGGAAGTTGCAGGGCTTATTTTCCCAACTGACTTGCTTTGTTAATAAATCAGATCCCTAAAAAACAAAAACATGACATTAGAAAATTAAATTGCCACCTTTCCTCATCTCCAAACAAACAGAAGCAGCATTACTTTAATGGTCCTCCTAAGATTACCAAATATCTTCTGCACGGAGCTTTGTATACAAGTAGGTCATCTCCCAGCACTGTTTTCCCTCTGAGTTCCTGGCAACTACCCTGATAAATAAGCTGCTGCCAACATCTCATCTGTCCGTATCCATGCTCAAACTGGGTGATCTCCTCCGGGGTGCATTTGCCTAAAGGCACACATAACAGATTGCACGGAAGGGCAGCACAGGCCGCTCTGCACACCACCCAAGCAAGGACACAAGGTGTTACCGGTGGGATCTCTTGCAGCCTTGTTGCAGCGCCCGGACAGGAGCATGGCTGAGGACCTACCATGCTTGCTGCTGCAAGGATGTGCATGAGGTGACAGCCCGTGGTCCCCAAAGTGCCCACAAGTGGCCACGCAGAACAAGGGCCCAGCAGGACCAGGGGCAGGGATGAGGGAAACCTGCCACGCTGAAGCCACAGTGCAACTCCCTGCTGTCTGACTCACAAGCTAAAAAGAGACCAAATTATCAGTCCCATCAACAGCCTTTTCCCAGCAATGCTACCCAAGACCAAAGCACTTCCACAGAAGTGTTCTGAAAACATGCACAGCTATGTCTGAAAACAGATGGGGTTTATTTTTTCCAGCTATGGCTGCTCTAATAAAAGAAGTGAGCTCCCGTGCTCCACACCCGCTGGGGAAGGTTTGCCTGCAGCTCTCCCTCTGCACAGGGCTCACCAAAGCACAGCACTTACTGTGTCACAGGGACGAGCTTCTCTTTGCTTCCAGCACAGCTTTGATTTTCCCCTTCTAAATAAAAGAGCCTGCAGGAGCAGAAGGGTGCAGCAACTCCACTGCAGGAACCTGCAGGGCTCCCGGCCTCCAGCAGGCAGAACCCACCTCCAAGCAAGCAGCATGGCATGCCCTGCTGTGCGCCCACGGTCACCCTGTGCCCTGTCCATCCACTGTCCCTACCCTTGCTCTGGGTTGTATTGCTTCTCCACTCCTCCACTGTGAAAGGGTGAAATCAGCTGCTGCAGGAAAACATTTCTCAGTACGTGCCTTGCTCCAGAGGGGCAGAGCCAAGCACTTCATGTACAGAAATGCTGAAAATTCTTCTCAGCACGCAGCAGTGGGCAGGATCAAGCAGGGACGTGGGGAACCCCGGCACAGCAGGAGGGTTTCACCAGGCTCAGGCAGCAGCTCACAGCTTCCAACAGCACCCGCTGCTTCCCCTTCGTCACATAAACCCTTCCTCTCAGTAGTAAAAATAAAACACATTTTTGTTTGAAGGTTGTCAGCAGTGGAAAGAATTATTATGGGAAAGGTGCAAACAACAGCAGGCACGAGAAGGCTGCGTGCCCTCTCCAGACACTCGCAGCAGCACATGCAGGCCAAGGCTCCTGCATTAGCAGCAGAGTCAACAAACGAGTGGAGCCAAACAGGCCAGTGGGAAGGCTTAGCTCATCTTTTGGGGAAAACACCTTTTTCCGTGGAAAACTGAGGACTTTGGTTTGTTTAAATAACGATCTTAAAAAAAAAAAAAAAAAAGAGGAGGATGCTCACCAGCCACACTTGGCCATGGGAAGGTTTAACTACAAAAACACATGAACCATCCAGAGCACATTTCACACAGAGCGTATGCTCCCGTTTTTTAACAAATAAGAACAGAAATAGCCACAGCCAGGCAAAGCTGACCCCATTCCCTACAAGAACCCTGTTTTTAAGACTTTGCCCTACTTCTTTCCACAGGCTGCAAGGAAGGAGGTTAAAATACAGCAGGCGTTCAGAACAACGGCCTCAGCAGGTACGTGGCAGGCACTGCAGCTGGGCTCCAGCTGGGATAATTAAAGACCAATCTATCTTCTTTACTCTTTTGGATCTAGGAGTGCTGGGCCACCTGCTGAGTGAGATGTAATTAAAGCAGCACTGCTGGAGCTCGGCCGGGCATGGCAGCTCTGTGCTGCACAGCTGCTCCATGCTGCACAGCTCGTGCTTCATGCGTTATACGAAGGCAGCTCTAGGCTACGGCAGCTGCAAAAGGGTTCAGCCCGGTGCCCTGCTAGATTTCTTTCAAAACAAGATACCTTTTAAGTTGAATATCTCAAAACTGTAGATGAATAAAGCAGCCCAGAGCTGGGGTCAGCGTGAACCCATAATTAAAGCTAATCTGCACGTGCAAGCTTCCAGCATGTCTCCCTTTCACAGTGACAAAAGCCATGCATGGGGCTGATAAAGGCCATGTGCTGGGAGCTGGAACATAGAAACGTTTTCCTTTTATGCTCATTGGGATGGAGGAGCTAATAGACTGGTCTAGGAGCAGGTGTGGGCACAGTCCTTCTCCTGTGCCATTCACAAGTGCTTGGCCAAAGGCAGCACTCCTGCTCCAAGAACAATTGCAAAGTGGCATGGTGGGATCCACTGTTCATGGTTTTGGTGATTCCACAGCAAACGCTGCAGGCTTACAAGTGAAACTATGCCCTGTCCTGCAGTCTCCCCAGGCATTTCACAAAGCCTGAAGCTGGGTCCTTCTTGCACATCACCACCAACCACAAAGGTTCCACCAGCCCAAGCAAACCACCAGCTCCCTGCTCCTTCCCAGCTTTGCCCTCAAGACCTTTTTTGCAATGACCCTACCACCAGCACCCTTTCACCCCACCAGGTTTTTGCTTTGACCTCTGAGGGCAGCGATTTTGCTTACTCCTCTGTGACACCTGAGATAGCTGTCGTGCAGTGCTGCTGCCTGCCGTGCAGTGCCAAGGATTCACCAGTTTCTGCAGGGCTCCCTGAGTGCTGCGAGTGCTTCAGCACGTGTGGTTTGCCCAGGCACCTGCGTGGGAGCAAGGAAGCTGCAGGCTGGGCTGGGACTTGAATGCTGCAGTTGGTTTTCCTGTGGGAAGTCACGGCTGCTCCACGCTGGGTTTGTTCCGACTTGCAGAACCCAAAGCAACGTGACTGCATGCCAAGAATTAAACACTGTGGCTGGGCGCTGAAATAACCTTCAAAGTAAGCACTGCAAAAGCTAACCATGGTGATATTTCTAATATAGGCACCTCGCTGTCCTGTGGGTAACATTAATCAGAAAGCACACGAATAAGGAGATAGCCAGCACCCCTCCACCAGCCGGCTGCCCTGCTGGGCAGAAGCAGGCAGCACACACAGCCTGGGCTGGCCCAGCTGCACGGATGGACAGACAGCACTGCACGGGGCCGCACTGACACCCAGTGGAAGGCAGGGTGAGATGCCTGGTGAGGGACTGAGTGCCTTCCTTCTGCTAAATGCAGTGGGAAATGAAATCTGGCAAGCAGGGAAATGCCTGAATGCCACCCTACAGTTGCAGTGAAAACATTCAATATAGACTAGAAACAATTGGGGTTCATTAAAAGAAAGGAAGACAGTTTGTACAAAGGTAAAAAATTAATCACCTGCAGCACGTAGCACGTGGTGATCTCCATGAAGGATGTCAATTCCTAGGCATTTACCCCACAAATTGCAATGCAGGTGCCCCAGAAGACCCAACATCTTTTTTTTTTTTTTTTTCTTGCTGGGCACAGAAGCTTCTGTTCTGTGCAGGCTGCCTTTCTGTATAGTCTGCACAAGTGCCTATTCAAATGTGAGCCACAGAACACACAGAGCAGAGAGGTCCCTAAAACAGGGAACACAGTGCTGTGATGCTTGCTTCTTCACATAACCTATACTTGAGATCGTTCTCAACTGTAAATTCTCAAAATGTTCTTTTTGTTGTTGGTTTTTTTTTTTTTAATAATTACAAATACTGCCAGTCTCTTCATTAGCCCACCTTTCTGAAATGCATAAAAATCCCCAACAAAAATCCAACTAAATTTGTCCTTCTGGGTACCCCGGTAAGGATGTGCTCCTTCACCACCAGCTCCGTTTCACCAGGACAGCTCTGCTGGCTGAGCCTGCACTACAGCTATGTTTCATTTCAAAGTCAACCTCCAAACACATGATTCTGTCAAACCCAATTTACTTGCTGGGAAATGAATAGCGGAAAAACCTGCCTTCATTTTACTCTGTATTTTCACTGACTGGACTTTTTCTATCTTTAGTATAAATGAAAGCCATGAAAGCTGACTTCTACATCAAGGTTACTTTGAAAAACATCTGAGCAGTGCTGTTTTAAAGCCTTCAGGTTGATACTGTCAGTAAAGGCAATCTGCATGCCCTACCAAGCTGGGGTACCTTTTCTCCCAGGGAGCAACCTGCTCTTCCATACAGCATTCCCCAGCTTGCTTACAAGAGAAAAAGACACAAACTACATAAAGACTCTGGTTGTACCAAAATCTGTTGATCTTACAGCATGTAAAGCAGGAGCAGTCAGCAATCAAAGCACCAGACTGGGAGTCACAAGATGCTGCTCGGCCTCAGGTTCCGTGGCCTTCAGCGAATTCTTTTGTCTGAAAAAGATAAAATCGTGAGTGCTAGGAGGAAATCTCTGCTAAGAGCTCCCTGGTTCCTGGGTCAGAGCCACCACAGGGCTGCAAAGCTGAGGAGGCTCAGGCGGGACGTTATTGCTCTCTCTGCAACTCTCTGAAAGGAGGTTGTAGCGAGGTGGGGGTCAGTTTCAGCAATAGGATGAGAGGTAATGGCCTCACATTGCATCAGAGCTGGATACTGGGAAAATCTCTCCTCCATAGAGCACTCAGCACTGCACAGCTGCCCAGGGGTCGCCCCTGGAGGTGCTCCAGAGCCCTGGGATGTGGCACTGAGGGACGTGGGCAGTGGGCACAAGGTGGGCCTGGGGAGCTGAGGGAGCTTTTCCAACCTTAATGATTGTATGGCTCTATGACTATGCAGGTGTGGCTACAAGAATTTATCAGATTATTTATTTCAAGCAAAGAATATAGGAAGAAGGATCTGTACTCTGTCACGGTCAGACAATAACAACAAACATATCCCAGCAAATACAGACATTTCTGGAGGCTTCCACACTACCTCTTGCTAACTGATGTAGCCAACAAGGAACAGCCTGACTTATGTGGGAGAGGCAACTCCCTTTAAACAGCATTTCTGCCCCCAGTGCTGGAAACTCACCTACATAGGGCAGTCCCGTAACTCGTCCACCTTGCTTTGCTTTTATCTGTGCAATGACCCTGAAACAAAGTCAGATAAAAACGTTAAGTACTTCATAGTGCAAGAAAGTCAAAGCAAAAAGGGGTGACCACTTGTGCTTTAATCCTGATCACAAAGACTATTTCAGCTTGAGTTCAGCTCCACAAAACGCTGCCCTCCGCCCAGCTCCCTCCCTTCCTGAGGACACAGCCTTGGCCCTCTGGCTGCCCCCCCCCACCCCATTATTCTCCCTTCCAGTACGCTATGATTCAAGGAACCAATGCATGACTACCAGATTTTGATATGGGTTAACAGGAAGAAATAGAATGAGAACAACATACCATGAAGCTCGTTTGGCATTAGAGTCAAATAAATACAAGAACCTCAGCTGGTTATTTTTTTTTTACCACAGGGGGCCCTCTATGCAGCAGGCATGCACCCACCCGAGTTGGGCAGCCAGGGGTAGGAGAAGCCCCCCCCAGCCTCCCAGCACAGCACGCAGCCAGGGGCAGCTGCCTGTCACCTGTGTTGCAACTGCAGCTGCAGGCAAATCACGTCCCTCCCTTTCTGGGAAGGAAACAGCAAAGTCCTGGACACGCTGCAAAGCTGTGCTCCTGGATCCTCTGCTAACATCCCAGCAGCTATGCTAAGCAGCAGGAGAAACAACCCTGAGAGCCCTGATTCGAGCCCAACCCCAGCTCACCACCACCACGTCCCTCAGTGCCACATCCCCACAGCTCTGGAGCACCCACCACTCCCAGGGCAGCCCGTGCCAGTGCCCAGCCACTCTTTGAAGACATTTCTCCTAACACCTGACCTACACGAAGCCTGTGGGTGTGCAGGCTCAGTGCAACACACCCAGAGGTACATTCTAGGGCGTGCAGTACATGCTGTAAGTCGTAAAACCAGCAATTACTAATCTAATACTCATTAGTATTCGGTGTATTAACCGTTCCTATCACTTCCAGTGCAAAGTTCTATGACTGTATCTCTGCAGAGACATCACCTTCCAGGTACGCTGCAAACCGCTGACCACACGCACCGGGCATTACGAAGCTGGGGAAGCGGCTGGGACACCGATAACTCATTAACCGAGGCACAGCAGGATCCAGGATCACCGCTGACACTTTTTGGATGAGAAACCAGCACTGTCTGCCAGCAGCAGGGTGCCCTGGCCCTGCGCCCTGCATGGAGCAGTGGGTGGCTGGGTGCAGGGCAGGCAGGCCTTCAGTGCGCCAGCTTCAACAGCAGCCGCTCTGCGACCTGCAGAGAAGGGGGACGCGCAGATGGGCTCTGCCAATAAATGCCACGCTGCTTCCCACACTGGAAAACGGCACCCAGACCTCAATAGCTGCTGTTGGAATCTCTGTGCAGAGTAGAAGAATGAGTTGCATAAAATCGGACACGGCCCAGCTGCAGGCGGTCCCTGCTATCCCAGCTCTGAACTTCTCACATACAGCAAGGAAATGAAACAAGCAGCACGCAACCCTCCTGCGCATACCTGTGACGGCTGTACCGTGCAAAATGAGCTGCTAATGAAAAGCAGCTTCTGCTTGCTTACACAACGGCCAGCTCTGGTCCTACAGCCATGACAGAAAAGTAAGAAAAGTTGTAAGCTACCCACCTCCGCTTCCTGACAGCGGACAAATCAAGGTCTAGAAGTGCCCTGTAAATAATTAGGACTCATAAATCACGGGCCACTTTCTGCTATGGAGCCACAAGGCCTCGGTACCCGGGCCCACACAAAGCTCCTGTCGGGAGGAAGGGCAGGGCTGTGCTGATGGAGGCTGGGAGCCCACGCGGCCCTGGGCTCAGCAGCAGCCACAGGCTGGGATATAAAGAGTGAAGAGAGAGGAGGAGTCTTGTTTCCACTCCAAAAGCTCCTCTGGAAGAAGGAAGATGTGGGAGCTGCAGGAGCAGCACTGCCCTGGGGACGAAGCCCCTGGCAGCACAACGCAGGCTCAGCAGGACCAGGCAGCCCACCAACCTGCCTGCTCAGCCCCAGCCCCCAACTCTTTGGCTTCACTCTACAAACCTCCCTGTTGCAACACCGAGAGGTGCACGCGTCTCCTGACAAACTGAACTGGAGATTCTTTGCTTTGTTACTCGGAAATGAGTACCTCCTGGACATCTGCATCACCACTGCACGGCTGCAGACCCCCCCTCACCCTGCCCTGCCCCAGGCCTTCCCATGCAGCTCTGTCAGCCCAGACAGCGTCCTGCAGCTCAGGGGAGCAGGGCAAAGAAACGCTGTGGTTTTTACGTGAACCGATGTGCAGCTGCCTGACATTTCAGGACGTGCATTTTTCTTCCTTCTAAGGTTTAATTCTCATGCTGCTAGATACCAGCGAGGATTTTACGAGCTCGGTAATAAACTGAATTTACACACAAACACAATCTTACCTACTCCTGCGATGCACTGGCCTGCCTAAACCACGCTGGTCTGAAGCCGATGCTCAATTGTAAAGCAGAGGAGGAGCAGGTAGCTCAGTCCTATCTGACTCCTCATTTCCTACTAAACAATAATTATTTACAAAGCAAGCATGTGAGTAGCAACAACGGCCCCGTTCAGGCAAGGTTTCATACCCAAAGCACTGGCTCTCTGTCCCTCTGCAGCCAGCAGGGACAGACATGCCAGCAGCATCCCACCATGCCAGCAGCATCCCACCATGCCAGCAGCATCCCACCATGCCAGCAGCATCCCACCATGCCAGCAGCAGCCTTGGGCAGCACAGGGAGAGCTACACAGCACCTTTCTCCAGAGCTTCACTTTCCTAATGCAAACTAGAGCCAGCCACCCCTGGACAGAACTCCTCACACACCGCTGGAAGATGGCAGTGAGTGTAAATGCCTTCTGTATCTGCCCGCTTTTGAGAACAGAAAGGAAATTTTTTTTCTGGAAACACTTCTGGCCATTCCTTGCAATGATTAATGACATTGCAAAGAACCTTTTTTCTCTTTTATTAACTTAAAAGGTATACACAGACACATCACGTATCTTAGAACAGCAGGCTGTACGAACTGTTGAGAAAACATAAGCAGAAAGACCTAACAAAACAGGACAGAAATCCAAACATGTCCAATTAGGGACAGACAGCCCAGGAAAAGCATTTCTGCAGACAGACTTCCTACGCTATTATTGCTTTTAAATTGAAGCTCACATTGATCAACAATTAAAATGCCTGTTTCTGCCAAACACACCCATGTTACATGTACATATATATGTACATCAGCACGTCACGTACACGTGTGATGATGCTATGAAAGCTTTGCTGGGACACAGAGCGCAGAAGTAGTGATGCTTCTGGGTTGACCACAGGCCAAAGGATTTCTTCTTTCAGAGCCAGAGTCTGTACTCAATAACACTGATATTACTGATGGAGGAACCAAGTGTGGCAGTGCTGCCCACCCCGAGCTGCTGGTGCCATCCCAAGGCACAGGAGGGAGGAAAGCCCAGGGAAGGCAGCACCAAAACACGCCAGAAGTATGGCAGACGCATGGCCCCAAAGCACATCATACAGATGGCCAACGCTGCATCCAGTTCTACACCCTTCTGTCAGGGCAGAGCCATTGCTTGTGAGGCTCTCCCACCCACCAGCAGCGCTGCTGCAGCTATTCCCGCTCTGCAAGCCAGACTCGCAACAACAGGCTTCCCTGATCCTCAGCCCACGTCTTCCCTTTCCAGTGATATCCACGGGCTCCTGATGAGAAGAACCCTCAGGCTGACGTGTGCCCACTCTGGTGAGCCCCTACTCCAGGGTAGGGCTGCATCCATGGCCAGGTGAGCAGCAGCCTGGACCCTGCTGCAAAACCCCATCCCACGCTGCCCACCTCATTGCACCCTGTCCACCCCATCCCATCCCATCTCACACCACTCCACTCCGACTGCCAGGAGATGTTCTGTTCTCCTCATCCTGAAGCACCAAAACCCACTGATTTCTTCCCCATACTCAATCCTACATCGACACCTACTCTCCAAGCACCCCACTGATGCCAAGACACTTAAAGCTCAGTTCCCACACACGGCTAAAGCAGCTTTGGAACTGTGATTATGTAAATGGCTCAGTTCTCATCTCAGCAAGGAGAAAAGGCCGTTCTACCTACCAACACCCCAGCAGCCACAGGCACACAGCCTGCCCTCCGTCATTCAGCACATCCAGGCGCTCCGATTCTTGCTCAAACTCCATCACATGCCAAGATGCTGACACGGAGACAGGAAGCCGAACATAAACACGCCGCCTGCTTTACTGAACATTCAAAAAAACAAAGCTAAAAATATGGATTTGTTGGAGTCTCCGGACAGAGGGAAAATAGAGAGTTCTACCAGAACTCCGAGGACTTCTGCCATCACCTCTGCTCTTTGCAGTATTCTCAAACAACATACGGAGTGAAAACTTCTCCTTCACAGCTTTAGGGTTCTCTCTTCTCCCTCCCTTCCATAGCCCTCAACAGCTCATTGTGGAGAACAGAAACAAGGGGATTCCAGAGGGGACCACAGTGCCGAGTGCAGTACACTCAGGTTTGGAAAAACTGGGTCTCATTGTGTAACATGACAAAATGCAGAAAACAGCTGCATGACTCCAGCAGTGATTAACTCGGAGCAAATCCCGAGAGCCATCAAACATCTGCAGCTTCAATTTCCCAAGAAATGGCGAGTCTGCAACTACTTTCCAGATTTGGGGAACTTGCTTTCTGCTTTCATTAAAGCCAATGGAAGCTTTACTACCAATCCTATCTCAGCAAGATAAGGGCTTTTCTATGCAAGACCAGGAGAGCCAAGAGCCCCACTCATTTCTGCATTTTTGGTAAGCACAGATGACCATTTAATTTGCAGAAACACAATCCTTCTAAGAATGCAGTTAAATCATTTGGCCAATATTATCACAGTATGCTGATTACACGCTGCTTAGCAAGTTTCTTCTGCCCCAAGAAGATGCTCGTGCCATAACCTTTGCTCCAGTGCAGGGATGAAGTGAGAAGGCTGGCAGTGATGATTTCTAGGGCCACACCAAGTGCTTCCAGAGCAATTAGAGCTTGCTTTTGTAGTGGAGCCTAATCAGAAGATGCTGCATCAGGACCAGGGCAGGAAGTTCATCCCAACTTGGAAGAGCTGCGGTGTGGGGCAGCTCCCTGGTGGGCTCAGTGCTTTCAGAGCTATTGTGGCCTGCACAGCTTCATGCTACAGAGCCGCTTCTCATGACCTGGGCTGAAATATTCCGAGCATTCTGAGGAACACAGACTGAGAAATGCATCTTCAGTGCTCACGAAAGTAAAGCTGCTACATAGCCACAGAGGTGTGTATTTGAAGCAAAGTACCTGGAACACAACACAACTCAGTGCTCGCTTTTACATACAGATGGAGAGATGGTTCCAACCAGCAGCTGGAGCCCTCAGTGCGTCTCTTAACACCACGGCTTTGTTAGCAGGTAAATCATAGAACTGTCGAATGGCCTGGGTAGAAAAGGAGCACAATGCTCATCTAGTTCCAACCCCTGCTGTGTGCAGGGCCACAACCACAAATAAAGGCGGTCCCACTGCTGTGCCATGACACGAGCCGGCCCCATGGCACAACTCCAGCCTCACCAGCTGCTGTCCATTGGAATTCATTTGCCACTTTGGCACTGGATTAAAGATCCCCTAAATCACCGCCATACATCCAATGCAAGGCTGAAATACGGGATTGGGAAGTCATTAACTGCATCCTAATCCTTTAATCGCACTCGGTGGTACCGGGGCAGCACAGCATCCTACCGCCGTCCCATTACTTACTCACCTCCTTTTATTTCTAAACGAATTCTCAACCGAGACAGAAGCACACGAGCAACCCACGACCACCCGGCAGCCCTCGGCCGGCGGAGACGCCGCCCGGGAAGGCGCTCAGCCCGCCTCGTGCCGCCGTCCCGGCGCAGGATCCTCCCGCGGCCTCGCGCAGCCGCCGCGCCCCGCGCCGCGCTCCCCCCCGCCCCGCGTGGCGCTCCGGGCACCGCACGGCGCCGTGCCGAGGCCGCGTCCCGCAGCGCCACGTGCCGGGCCGCCCCGCACCACCCGCGCAGGCCGCGAGGCGCTGCCCGCAGGGAGCGGCTCTCTTTCTCCCAGCTCCGGCCGCAGCTCGGCGGAGTTCAGAAGTCGAAGAAGCGAATCCGGCTGCCGGGAGGCCCCGCCGCCTCTCGGCCCGTCCCGCCCCGATGCGCCCCGCAGCCCCGCCGCGCGGAACGGCGCTCCGGGGGAAAAGGCAAGAAAAATAATAAAAACATAAAAAAAAAAAAGAAAAAACAACAAACACCGACCCCACAACGGCCGAACGACTCCAAACTCGGCCCCGAACGCCGCGACCACCGCCGCGGCACGGCCCACCCGCAGCCCCCGGCCCGCGCTCACCGCCGCCGTCCTCCGCCCGCTGCCGTCTCCAGGGGCGACCGCCCCGCGCTCCGCCCTCCTCCGCCCGCGCTCGCCCCGCCCGGCCCCGACCCGGCCCGGCCCTGCGCTGCCCCGAGGCCCCGGCGGAGCTGCGTGCTGCTGGTGGTCGCTCGTGGGAAGGAGTGCTTTCGTGCTAGAAAATAACCCCCTTTTCCCCGTTTCCCCCCCCCCTTTTTTTTTTCCCCTCCCCCGTAGCGGTGCTGTCGGGAGGAAGGTCGACGTTCCTGGGGGCAGAAATGCCGCTGTATCAGAGGGCGGTCAGGTTGGGCGTTAGGAGAAATGTCTTCTCCTACAGAGCGCCCAGCGCCGCGCAGCTGCGCAGGGGTGGGGGGGGGTCACAGCCCTGCGGGTGTTCGGAGCCGGGATGGGGGCTGGGGGTGGAACGGGGCGCTCAGAGGGCTTTTCCAACCGGAATGATTATTCTGTGCTTCAGTGCAAACTTCCAGAAATGATACTTGAGTTTTCTAAGAGAGACGGTGGGGATAATCCCGGTTAGAGAAGCACTGAGCGAGACGAATGCTTGATGTTATAAACTTACTCAGGAGTTTTAAACTCACTTCAGGAGGGGAGTCAGCGCTGAAAGGGTGGATAACAGCGGGACGGGGGGAAATGGGTTGAAGTTGAGGGAGGGCAGATTGAGGTTGGATGCCAGGGGGAAGTTGTCTGCTGTGAGAGTGGTGAGGTGCTGGAACAGCTGCCCAGAGGCTGTGGATGCCCCGTCCATCCCTGGAGGTGTTCAAGGCCTTGGATGGGGCCCTGGGCAGCCTGGGTGGTGTGAAATGAGGAGGTTGGTGGCCCTGCCTATGGTGATGGCTTGAAGATCCATGATCCTTGAGGTCCCTTCCAACCTTGGCCATTCTGTGATTACTCAGCACGAGCAGAACGGGAGGAAACGTTTGGACAACCCCCCCAAATCACAGCAGGCGGGCTGCAGCAGAAGCTCAGCTGCAGACCCCCATCCCTGGCTCCTCCACGGCTCCTCCACGCTGCCATCACCAGCCCAGCTCCACAGCACTCCTCCGTTCCACAGTCGCACCACCAGATCCGGTCTCTCCGGCTCTCCCGGCGCGTCCCAGGGCAGCACAGTGCTTTGCATGGGATTTGCATGAGCGTGGATCAGGCCTGGTGGCTGTCAGGGCTTGCCCAGCATCCCGGCCTGCCGCAGCTTGCAGGGTGTGGTGCTGCGGGCCCTGAGCTGCCTGCAGCCCGCATGCAGGCCCAGCAGCCTGCAGTGAGATGTGGCTCAGGTTTGCTTTTACGCCAGGTTTTTGTGACGTTTCAGGAGGACACAAACAGCTGAGGTTCAGTATGTGCCCCGTGTTCCCCCTCTATCCATTCCCAGCTGGTTTCTCATTATCTCCACAGTTTTTCAGACTTCTGACAATGGCAAGAAACCCAGTTTTTCAAAGTTTTTTTCTTTTTTTCCCCCCAAATTAATGTAAAAGAGCCTGCTTTTGTCCGAAGGGAGCTATTTTTTGAAGATTGCTGTTTGAATTTTGATGTAAAAAAGCCGGGGGTGGGGGGGGAGAACAACACAGGAGATCTATCATAAGGAACGGAACTTAGGGAATCTGTTTGGAAAGGAGGAGTTTTGCTCAGCCTCCACCAGCTGGCTCCCAGGAAGCAATGCCCTCTTGTGGGCTAAATCAGCAGCTCTCCCGGAATTCATTGATACTCATCAGCTTAATTAACCACTGCTGCCATGCTTCCTGGGCTCCTGGCCTCATCCCACCAGGGCTGGCTCAGCAGGAGAAGAGGAGGAATAAACAGAGCCCACTTTCCACCTCAGGCAAATGGAAAGACCTCCTTGGAGCAGCCGTTCCCTGGGCTTTGAGAAACACCAAATACACTGCGCTGAGTCTGCACGACTAACGGAGGTTTTAGCAGCAAAATGATGGTTCTGGTCTGGCTAAGCAATTCCTCTGACAAACAACAGGATTTGCTGTTCCAGCCATTCACGCAGTGATGAATGAGATTCATTTCCTTTTATTCACTCATTCCTTTTATTATTATTATTATTATTATTATGCTATTTGCAACCATTTGTGCCTGACAAATAGTGACCATATGTCTGAAAAATGACGGTGCCAGCACGAGGCCAGTAACATGGGTGCAGAAATGTGAACATCCCAACCTCCTGATCCACACAGTTCTGAGGTGCTCCCCTCCCTCACAGGCCCTGGTTGGGATAACTCTGGGATGAGGAGGTCCTGGTGGTGGGCAGCAGCTGGATGGAGCGAGGCCACACAGCAAAGCACACAGCAAACCTGAGCTGTCAGGCTGAGTGCACTGGGCTGAGTTCTTCAGAGTGGCACAAGCACAGTTATTCCTTTCTCCTCCAAACACTGATCTATAAAACTGTTTATTCTTGTTAGCGTGGACCAGAAGCTTAAATCAGAGACTGCAGAGTGTTAAATACCCTCCATCTCTGTTTAAAGAGCATGCCTGCGTTCTGCATTTAGTCCCATCAGGATGACTGGGGGAGGCAAGGCAGGATGAAGTGCCTTCCTCAAGGGCACACCAATAATGGCAGCAATGGGCTGAGTGGCAGCTGTGCAGCAAGGTTGGTGGAGCAGCAGCCCTGACCCCCTTGTCCTTCTGTCCCTATGTCCCTTCCACACGTGCCTGTAGCCTTCCTTCCAGCACAGACGCACACAAGGAAAATCCTACAAAGCAGCAGTTTGCTGTTGCAGCTTGCTTGTTACGTATGACACCTGTGTTTCAGCCTTGGCTACTGCTAAGACTTCTTTTTCATTTCATTCTTCTGTTTTGCTGACTTTAAACCATAGCAAAGTGCATAACCACCACCTTGAATGTGAGGTTTTTGCAGCAGCCCATGCCTGTGGGATTTGGTGCAGCACCCAGGGCGGAATCCTGTCCACCACAATCATTTATCTCCACTGAGCTCTTATTATTCTGTGTGTAACAACGTTCAGAGTTCAGCCAAGGGACACACTGCAATAACAAACCTGGAGAACAGAAGATCTGCTCTCAGCGCACGCTTTGGCCACGCTGATGCAAAGCAAGATTTCTGTTGTGCATCCTGTACAGCAGCTCCTCCTCCTGTCTTGGCCACACTTTCACCAGTTCCAGCAGTGAATGAAGAGATGCTCCAGCTCTGTTGTAGCACATGGCCGGAGCAAACCCCCAGCCATGGGGCAGGGGGACCCAGCAAAGCCCAAGCCTGGGAAAAGGCTGCAAACCGGTGCCACAGTGCCACAGGTGAGGAGCACAAAGGGTGCTTCCAGCACCCCAGGGCAGTTTTCTTGCAAAATAATCATACACATAACATGCAGTGCACAATGAGCTGAACAAGAGAAACGGCAGTGGCTGCATCAGTCACTCCCTAAAAGCAATCAGCAGGACTGCTGTTGGCAGGAGGATGCGTGGGGAGCAGTGAGTGCACATCTGAACAATTCAGCTCCAGAGGGACTTCTGGGGACACGGTGCTGCCCTTCCCTTGGCAGGAGCTGGGACAGGGCAGGAGGCAGCAAGCTCACACTTCCTAGGTTTTCTTCTCCTGAGGAAATCTTCAGCATTTTCTCCCCGTGCAAAAAAATCTTCAACATTTCCCCCCCCCCTATTTTATTTCCCTGCAAAATAGAGATTTTTGACTTGAGAACTTCATTCAACTCACGCTTAACCATAAGTACACAATAAGAAAGTCTGCAAACAGCCAGGAGCAGGCTGGGGCTTTCCCCCAGCCAGAACACAGAGGTGTGTGCCTGTGATTGCTTTTGGGAAGGCGTAGCCTCAGACGCCTGGGTTTGGTTCACTGAGCAGTCTGGAATAATACTGATAGAAAGGTACTTTAGAAATAACAGAGAAAGATGCCCACAGCCAGCAGCAGAGCGAGGTTTACCCTCAAGCAGAGCAGCAGTCAAGTTCTGACAGGCATCTGTGGTGGGAGAAGTGGAGGTGCGGGAGATGGTCTGATACAGTTTGCAGTTCAGACATCACTCATCACTGCAGTGTGCTGGAGGTCCCCTCCATAAACACGCATGCATCCACGCACCCAAATTATGCTGGCAGCAGCCAGACAGCTCATCGCTGCTGCGATGTGGGCTGAGCACGTTCTCAGGGGATCCCCCCAGCTCAGGGCAGAGCAGCTGGGGGCACAGAACCTCCTGGGCAAGCTGCTGCCAAAACTGGGCTTTGCTCCCTGTCCAGCCCAGCTCTGAGTCATGCCTGTGGCATTGCTGCTGACAGAGCCCATGACGGCGGTCGCTGCCGTTCCAGTGGTCCCAACGTGCCCCCTCACCCAGCACCCCATCCCAACTGAGCAGCAGCCTTTCTCCCCCACGCTCCACCCCAGGGCCCTGGCAAGGAGCTCCGTGCATTTGCACAGCCTGAATTAATGAGCCAAAATCTTGGCTGTGCTGGTGGATGCTGAGTGGACTACTGAAGAGACAGACTCAAAGGAAAGAAGAGTGATCGGGGAGCACAGAAGGAATGTCTCCTAATACCCAATCCAAACCTCCCCTGGTGCAGCTTTAAGTCCGTAACCTCTCATCCCTTATGAAGCATGTACATGAGAGCAGTTAAAGGTAAGGTGATGCAAAGTCGTTCAGTTGAGCCCTCAGTTTCTGAGCACACACTAACACTGTTTTACTGCAGGACAACACCTGCAGCGCGTGGTGGGCACGACAGCAGGGGCTGCCTGAGCACATCCACACCCTCTGCAGGAGCATCGCTTCCTGACCCCAGGCTGACAGCAGGAGCGAGCAACCATGCAGCAAAGGGGAGAGTTTATTTTCCCCTGAAAGCTGCAATTATTGGGCAGACTTGAGAAACACATCTAGGCAGATTTTTAAATGCTGCTTTTGGCGTTATTTCCAATTTTCTGACCAGTTCCCCTCTTTCCTGCATTCCGCCTTTGCCCATAGCACCCTTTGGTGGGGATTCAAGAAAAGGAAGTTGTTTTTCCCTCCCCTCTCCCCATAAAGCTGAAGACAGGGAGCGAGGAACATGGCTGGACTGTAAATCAGTGCAACGCGGGCAGCATGTTAACGCCATGCCTGGG